GACTGATTTTTTTTTTTTTTTGCCTTGAGATATGAGCGAGTTTCAGTTAAGCATCCGCATTACATATGTTCACCTCTGCTCTGGAAGGACCTCTGTTGTGTTGTGTTGAGTCTTTTTTGCAGTTATTTTGCAAATTTCTTTTAACGACACCATGGGTCTGAAGAAAGTAAGTGTAAAGAGCAGTGGTGAATTTTTATGGGCCTGGAATGAATCGGAAATATTCCCATTAATTTCAATGGGGAAAAATGATTTGAGATACAAGTCTTTTGAGTTATGAGCTCAGTCTTGGAATGAATTAAAATCTTATCTCAAAGTATTACTGTATTTTTATTTGAGATTGATTAGGAGACCTGTATTAAACATGGTTTACTTAGGTGCTAATTCTGTACTGGCAACCTTTGTGCTAAAACCTACCCAACCCATAGGTTATAAAATGCTGGGTGGATTATAGATGGGTATTTTATTTTTTTATTTTTTTATTTTTTTGTTCAAGCATGTAGGTGATCATGGGTCTCAAGATATTTTTTTTTAAATTTTAGTTGCTATGACTTGTTAAATATACAGTGATTTCTTCATGTCTCATACAGTTTTGAATTCAGAGTAGCTTTACTCCTAGACTGACTGCCATCCAAGGCTAGAAAGCCCAACTGGTGCTGCTGTTTAACTCATAGATGGGGAAGAGAGGATATATTCATGTCTTTCCTAATTACATTAATTCAAAGCTAAATGGATTAGTAGATTAAGTTAGAATTAGGTTGGCTTACCAAATTTACTTTCCACACCAATATCTCTGCTTTCAGTTCAAACAACTTTAAAAAACTTTTCACTAATGTTCTTTTATTTAAGATCCTGGATATAGCAACATCAAGAAGTGCAGTTACCCTTGTATTTTTTACATGTGCTCTAGATATTTCAGTTCATATTCATTTAACATTCAATGATATTTTACTTATCATAATAGTAAGTCTGATCAGTTTGATAAGGTCAAATTGGCAGCTGATCTAAAAAATAACCTACAGTCTTTTGTTAACTGGGTCAAGGTCAGTTTCAGTTGATTTTGTTTAGCAGAATATCAACAGCTATGGGTTATTCAATGCTGAAATGTAAATATTTTGAAGCAGTTGTATGCCTTTATGAATGAATTGTTGGTAATTCTACAATGAATAGATAATTGTTGGTAATTTTTTTCATATAAAAATATATTGCTGGTATTTTAGAATAAAAATGTATTTTTATACTTTCATAGGGTTTTGCTTTTGTCCACTATTTGCCTATAACTGTGACCCCCTAACAGGTGCCGCCACCCCAGATCAGGATGGACCTAGGGACAACATCAATTAAGAGGTGGTTCCAAGCTCCACATAACCTCTAATCTCCCAATCAGAGGCTTTAATGCTGGATACAGTTTATCATCATACCTCAGATTATACTGGGGTAAGGAATGGCTAGTTAATTTTAGCACCTCCAAAATAATACTGCAGTCTATTAAACATCTGAGAAACTCCATTCTGCCTTCAATTAGCATGGCTGATGCTAACCTGCAGGAGAGTGGCTTGTTGCACCTTCTGTGGCTAACATTCTCTGCTGATATGCAGTGGAAAGATTATATTGAATCAATTGCTAGGTCTACTGCTAAGAATGTTGGCTCCTTGTGTTGTGCTAGACAATTTCTCTTTCTAGAATCTATCTTACATATTTATAAGCCAACCATTTGTTCTTGCTTTGAATACTGCCGCCACATATGGTCTGATACTCCTACTATATATATTTATAGATTCTTGATAAAATCCAAAGAAGAATCTGCAATGTCATTGGTCCTGAACTGGCATCTCAGCTTCAGTGACTGTAATGTAGCTTCCCTGTGCCTTTGCTATAAATACTTTTCATGGTAACTGTTTGAATGAACTTTCCTATTTGGTAGCTAGACTTTATGAATATAAGCACAGTACTAGATTGGTCACAAGGCTTCATCATTTTACAGTTGGATAAGCTAAATGCAACCATAAGTTCTATGCTAATAGTTTCTTCTATTGCATTTCTCGCTTGTGGAACTCTTTCTTGGCGCCTTGCTTTTTCAACTGTTATATACCATACATATGAACACTAATGGGTATGTCACAACCCTCATAAGTATGTTGGATACTATTGTAAGTGGGGGTAATATGCTGTCTAAGTAGTCCACCACTAGCAGTGGTTTACCTACTTCAAGCCACTGGCGAGTATTGTATTTTGTTCATGTTATAAAGATTACCATTTCATTTTCAAGCTCCATTTTGGCTATTTCTCATTCAGTAACCCTCTCTAGGTTGCAACACTATCTATCTGTCATATACCATACCTATGAACACTGGCAGTGGTTTACCTACTTCACGCCGCTGGCGAGTATTGTATTTTGTTGATGTTATAAAGATTAAGATTTCATTCCCAACCTCCATTTTGGTTACTTCTCATTCAGTAATCTTTTCTAGGTTATAACACCAACCAACCAATTTTGATCTTCAAAAATTTAATGCAATGTCAATCGTCATCTACTGTCTTCTTGATTCCTCTTTTATTGTTCCCACTGCTTAATATTTTTTTATTCTTTCACATTCAGTAACCTTTTGTGTCTCGGCAGCTTTATTGGCTTGCATGGGGTGAAATGATTAAAAAATGATAAAAAAATAGAAATTTCCAAATATTTAGATTGAATAAAGAGAGAAATCGATTTGACTTTGACTGAATAAATTGTTTTTAACCCATTAATACACACAGTAAAAAATCTAACTTTATAAAAATAAAAATACAGTATTAATTACAGGTTTCTATCTATAACTCATTAATCGACCCCCCTTCCACACAAACACCATCCAACGTTTGGGAAACTGCCTGTTTTCAGCTAAAAGTACTTATGAGGTTAATCAATAAATCCAAAGCCCAACAAGTAGTTGTAAGATGAATTTTGATCTGAAATTTTCATTGTAAAATATTAAATCTTGGTGATTAATATTCACCACTGAATTAGATTCATTGATAAGAAAAGAGATTGTTAAAAAATAAAATTATTTTTTCATTATGAAGCTGCAAAATTATTAATGTACATTGAAAATAAGTTCCTGAAACTGAATTAAATGAATTTTGTAATGTGTATAAATAGTATAAATTTTCTTTGGTTCAAAGATTAATGAATTAGTATTACCAAGAAAGTTGAAAATTAATATTATCTCAAGCTCCAGAAGCTCCAACAAGGCAGTACCTCTCCTTCAGGAAGAGGCTGGGCTCATTAACTAGCATCTGAGGTGTCTCCAAAAAGGGAATCACCAAAGGAATTTGAGCAATTTCTTCAGAGTATTTTTTCACCCAGTTTAAACTGATCTTTTGTCACATTCAGTCGCAACGTTGGCACACTGATAAATACCCATGTTTTCTTTTTTTTCTCTTAAAAGCAACATTCTTTTAGTAAAGATTTATAAAGTATTAAAAATCAGAGTCCGCAATAGTCAAATTGTAATAATTTAGTTAGTTGTGTGGAAAAGTTTGTTTCAGTTTCCAGTTAAATAACTGGTATTTTTTTTTTATATTCTTCTCTGAGATTGTGTCTCTTGAAGTTGAAATAATTTCCTCCTTTTAAAAAAATTAAAAGGCATCTGCAATAAATCATAAATTATTGATTTCTGCTCCAAATAGATTTGTGACTTTTCATATCTTTGCTATTAATTTTTTTTCAACTATTTCTTTCTCTCTTTAACAAATAAGTTTTCACCTTATCTATTGATTAATTAATTCTTTGACTGTCACCATTCTTGCCTCTCTGATATTAACATCTGGGTTTTCAGTGAAATTACTGCTACAACATTATATACAGGGTGCGATGGGTAAATTGTCGCTATTTTATATTTTTAATTTTGTGTTTGCACATTGTTTTCAATTTTGTCAATTGCACGGTATAATAGGGTCAGTTGAACACCACTTGTGTGAAAAAAAAGCATGCAATTCACTTTGCCAGGAATTTGGAAATGATATGCTGTACTACTTGGCATTCACACTGGAAGCTCCAATACAAACATTTCAGTGTACTTGGGTGTCAATGTGAGGACAGTGTAGAGGATTTGGTAAGAGTTGGATGATATATCCAGTCAACATCATGATGTTTGTAATTATCACTCGTGATGGTGATGTTATACCTACATTCATTTTCCCACAGGGCTTCAGACTTAACACAGAGGCCTACATCAAGTGCCTTGAGGAGGTAGTACTGCCCTGGGTCAAGAGAGTGGCTGATGGAAGACCCTATGTCTGACAACAGGACTCTGCACCATGCCACACAAGCAGGAGAAACCAGACAATTTCTACTTCCACATCACCCCTTACATCTGGCCACATAACTCACCAGAATGCAACCCCCTTGATTATTACATATGGGGAGAGACCCACAAAACTCCTTGTAACACCAAAGATGAACTGAAGGCAAAGATTATGGCAGCATTCACCAACTTAAACAAGGAGACCATCCAGAAGATTAGCCGCAGATTCCGAAGGAGTCTGGAGGTTGTGGTTGAAGCCAATGGTGATTTTATTGAATAAATTTACTTTTTAGTATTTCAAAATATTTTTGTGTAATTTTAGTAAATATAAAATATATCTGTTAAAATGAGATGTTGGTGTTATTTTCATTTTTACATAATTTAGATGACAATTTATCCATCGCACCTTGTGTGTGTATGTGTCATATCTCGCATTAACAGGATTGAAGAGAGATGGGATTAAAACAGTTTCGAATTATAGATTTAAGCTTTGTTTTTGTGTGTTTGTGATGGAATAAATTATCATTTAAATGTAAAAATCTGAACAAGGAAGACGAGATGTGAGAATTTAGAACTTAAAGGAAGGAATAAAAAGGATTATGGGTTTTAGTGAGTTCAACTTAAAGGTCAGTGTCAGAAATGCAAGTTTGGACAATTAGAAATAGGAGTGATTATAATTGACAAATTTGTGACCTTTGTCTATTACTCACTGTATAGTCTCTCTCCTTTCTTTCTCTCTCTTCTCTTCCTCTCCCATCTCTCTCTTCTCTTCCTCTCCCATCTCTCTTCTCTTCCTGTCCTTCTGTCCCTCTTTCCTCTCTCTCTTCTCTCTCTTCTCTCTTCTCTCTCTCGTCTCTCTTTTCTCTCTTTTTTTCTCTCTTCTCTCTCCTCTCTCTCCTCTCTTTTCTCCTCTCTTTCGGAATGATTCAAAAATAAGTATCATTAACAAAAATATTTTATAAATATCATTTAATAAATTTTTTTTTTTTTTTTAAGATAAACATTGAATTAATTTTAAAGTCTTTAGCCATGATTTACATTGGAAATATTGTTGATAGCAAATAAACTATTGGTAAGCTGAAACATCTATTTTTTTTTTTCATTGTGACCATTTCTGTAGAAAAGAATACCTGATTTCCTTTTTTATGCTTCTTTCTCATGTTTCTCCTCTACACACAATACAAAGATCTTTGACATTTCCTTATCCTTGGCATATCCTTAAACATAGGTAACAGAAAAACATAGAAAAAGCTAAGACTACTTGATTTTCTTTTTCTTTCCTCTCCATTTCACTTCTCAGTCATACTATATCTTGGTTCAGCTATTTATCCAATACATTCTCTCTTACTTGTGAAATCAGTGGAAGATAGCCTCTTCTCTTTATTACTGGTTTTTATTTTTAAATTCCATTCTGTGGCATTTACAAGCCACTAGCTGTCAGTTGATGTTACATTTCTGTTCTGATATCAATAACACTTGATGGGTTTTCCACTCCAATAATTTCCACAGCATTATCTGACATCAGCTATAAACCAAAGCCCCATATTTATTAAATTTATCTGAAATTAATGGCAGCAACCCAAGAATCCCATCTTATCACCATCATGAAAGCAAGTAAATCTTATTTTTTTTATAGTGTTTTATTCTTAAAATATTTACACGTGTTGTCTAACATGACATCTAGCTATTCTTAAAATATACAAGTGTCGTTTGCCAGTACATTATACAAGTGCATTATCAGTCTTCTTAGCATTTCTAATGTTTTTTTTTCTATACAAAACAAAAGTTGATGCTTGTGGTAATAAAATAAGCTCATTCCATCTCCCCTCTTGCCATCCACCATGATAAAATAAACATTTTCAGTACTAAAGCTGAATTAGTCAAATAAAACTCCTACTTAGTTTTTTCTATATTGCAGTGCTTAAATGTAAATTTCTGGTCTCTTTACAAGAATCAGATCAGAGACAAAGAATGGAAAATTGCTACCATATCTGGGCTGGAATTGCTCAATTCTTATTTTCCAGTCTTGACAGAGTTCAAAAGAATCTTGTAGGTATTGAAATTATTTTCAACTCTACAGCTCTTTTCCAACAAATGAAACTTCACAAGCCTGTTGCTAGTTCCACAGCAAATGTCCAAATCTTTGCAGATAGGACTCGCCATGCCATATACACTCATTCCCTTTGTATACCATCAGTAAGGAGGAAGTTCCACTTGGGCAGCTTCTTTGCTACCATATTTAGACTGAAATTGCTTAATTCTTATTTTCCAGTCTTGACAGAGTTCAAAAGCATCTACTTAGCCTTCTGGACATTGAAAATATTTTAAATCCTATAGCTATTTCACAAGCCAATTGCTATTTCCATAGAAAATGTTCAGATCTTTACAGATCACCATGTCATATATACAGGGTCAAATAATTGTATTCGTATTCCATTAGTAAGGAGGAAGTTCCACTCAGACAGCTTCTTTCCAAGAACCACTACTTTGTGAGAGGATGCTTTTCTGATCACTACAATCTTAACCTCTTCAGATCTAAAGTCAACTATTATCTATCCTACATATTCTCATAATCTGTATGTCTATTGTATAGAAATACAATTGTGGTACAAGGCCAAAATGGGAAGTGGGGTGAGTTTGGTTGTCACTGACTATCCTAAACCTAGCTAATATGATTTGTGACCCATTCATTCATTCATTCATTACAATTTACTCAATCACCGCAAATTATTCATCTCTATTCATCTGACATACACCACAATACCGCATATTCAAAGGGAGTCCTACTAAAACACCCATGCCATAAAAATTTTACAATATATACAAATGTCTTTTCTGTAAGATTTTTCTTATAAAAATATATGGCATGATATGACAAGGGAGGAGATGAACCCAATAATGAAAATAAAATACAACAAAACATTCAAACTAAAAATTAAAAAATGTTAGTGGTCCCCACCCACTCCACAATATCTTCATATTTTGAAAGTCTTCCACTTGTATCCATACAACAACTTCATTCAGTAATCCTTGACTTTGAGTGGTTCTTGGAATTTGCATTGGGAAAAGATTTTAGTAAAGGAAAAAAAATGCTGAATATGCTTATATATTAGTGTAGAGATTCTCAAAGTGTGGACAATGGCTCATTGGGCTGTCTGAATTAACTCCCAGGAGTGCCATGAGATAGATGAAAATTTTAATAATTCCAGGCTATTGTGAATTGGTTTACTGATACTGATCAGATGAGTGAAAGCAACATCTATCTGGCAAATCACAAGTCATTCTAGCTATCCACTGCTGAACTTCAACATTTAAATGCTAGATGATGCTGATTAGAGAGACAAGATTTGTATCCTGGATTTTCCTGGGTCTGTTGAATATTCTTGGTAGACAATGGCTGCATTATAAATAACTACAGCTTTTCTGCAGCCTCATTTATGAAAATTTTAAAATTAGACAAAGAACACATTCATCTTTTTTGTGCAAAAAATAAAAATTTTATTCCCTACCAAATCTAAGTTTTTGTGCCAAATGCAGAATCCTAGTTAGTAGGAATAGCAAGTCATAGGTGTAAATCAAAAAACAAGACTCAAACATTGTATAGAATTTAAAAAAAAAAATACATTTACTACACAAGTATGAAAACAGTACAAATGCAAAGTTTGCACAAAAATTTCCTTTTGTGTGCCTATTACAGCAGGGTAACAATTTCTGATAAAAATGGTTACCATTGAATAATGGAAAAAATTAGTTTGGTAAAAGACAAGGATTCAGTGACAAAAGGAGAAAACAATTCCAGAAAGCAGAAAAACAAATGTGCAACCACCCCAGAAAAGACGAAAACACCTACTTTTACTTACCCTACAAGCATCTCTGGGTCATAGTAATTTCAGAAAAATTTAAAATTCACAGTTTGTGCTTGGGAAAATTTCTTTGAATTCTTTTCACTTTTTATTGTCCAACTGCAGGAGAATTTTCATTTGAACTTCAAAATTCTTCAGTTTAGTCTTTCTGTAGTTGGCTGATAACCTTGTGCCTTCTTGATAATCTCTTCTTGACGTCAAAAGCCTTCTGCTCCTTGATGTTGATTTGTCTTGTCTCCTCACTGTCAAAATGTCTTCTCTCCTCATCCACTGACCCGAGTCCTATATATTCTAAAAAAACAGGCTCACATTCAGTTTCTTACTAGACCTTGAGACCATGTCTCTCATTGGTCAGTATATATGAAAAAATAGTTTTCCATGAACTAGAAATGGATCCTTTACAATTTTGGTGGGTTTTAACTGTTGAACTGTAAAAGATATATAAGTGTAATAAAGTTTTACACAAACCATTTGGCCTTCATAAAAATACACTTCTCTCAAAAGAACATGTACTGAAAAAATAGCCTAGATGATTAAACATTTATTCAAGACTAACATTATTAAAGTAGTAAAAATAACCTTTTTATATATTGAAGATTGAATCAAATGAAAGTTGATGTGATCATGCTATTATTCATCTTAATAAAAATCTAATAAGCATTTTTCTCTTTATGGTGTAGATGTTTTCTTTGTACAAATGGTTTCCTTCCTTAGGTACCATGTGTGATATACCCTTGGGTGATCATGTCTCTATTTCAATTCATGATTAAGTGTTCTGACTGTAAGTGTGATGCTAAGATCTGAGGAGGTATTGAAATGGCCAAAGACACATTCCAAAAGCTAGGCAGAGTATTACTAGACAGGATGAACTGCTATGTGATATCTGTCCTCCTTTACAGCACCGAATGTTGGATGGTCTCCTCAAAGATAAAGAAGAGACTTGAGGCAACAGAGATATGATTCTATAGAAGAGTGCTAAGGATACCATGGACCGAACATAGGAGCAACAATGAGGTTTTGAAGAGGATGCAAACAAGGAAAAAGCTTATACCTAACATCAGGAAGAGGCAGATGAAATTTCTGGGACACATAATGAGAAAGGGGGCTTGGAAAATCTGATACTCACAGGGATGATAGAGGGAGAAAAAGGGGATAAGGGAAAGCAACATGTGACATACTTCGCTGGCTTAAGCAAGTGTATGGCAGAACAGGGTTTGGAAGAAGTAGCCAAAAGACAAAACTTATTGAGAGCTACAAGGTATAGAAGGAAGGGGAGAGCCATGATTGCCTACATCCTGAAGGGACACAGCACATAAAAGACGATGATTAACTTGGCAGAAAAATTCCTGCAGTAAGCTACCATTACTTTCTGTGGTAGACTGGTTACCAACCAAGCATATAGAACCCAGTCTGTCCTGCTATTTAACCCATAACTGGAAGGGAGAAGAGATTGATTCATACCTTTCCCAAGGGTATTAGCATGTTGGGGGCACCTTGGTGTGGTGTAATGGTTAGCAAGCTTATCTCACTAGAACAATTACGACTGAGTAGTGAGTTTGATCCTCACTAGGTGCTCCATACTTTCGGTCTTGTGCCACATCTGAGCTACGCTTGTGGGCACCTCGGCGTGATGTAATGGTTAGCAAGCTTATCTTGCTAGAACAATTACGACTGAGTAGTGAGTTCGATCCTCACTAGGTGCTCCATACTTTCGGTCTTGTGCCACATCTGAGCTACGCGTGTGGGCACCTCGGCGTGGTGTAATGATTAGCAAGCTTGTCTTGCTAGATCAGTTACTACTGAAAAGTGAGTTCGATCGTCACTGGATGCCCCATGCTTTCTGCCTTGTGCCACATCTAAGCTTCGCCATTAATATGACCTTGTGTCACAACCTGACCTCGTGGGGGGTCAAGTAAATACCGGGTATTAGCATGTTGGTGAATGTAATGATTTTGACTAGAATTTGAACTTGGCTCTCAGATTTCTCATTCCATGCTGTAATCCACCATACATCCAGTCTTACAGCACCTGGTATTCCAAAGTGGTCACCCATCTAGGTACT